CAAAATAAATAAAAAATATTACAAAAAAAAAGAAATAAAAACACCAATATATTATTATGATAATATTAGAAAAATTGAACATGCTTAATAATTAAAACCATAAATAAAGTACTAAATAATTATTCAAAAATAAATAAATTTTGTAACAAGATAGTACTTTATGCATCTCGTTTAACATCAAGTAATGGGACAAATTGTAAATAACGTTGAGTTCAATCAAAAAGCAAGTGAGTTTCTATTCGAGAAAACAAATCGAAACATATATTCAATCAAAAAGCAAAGCAATACGTAATGAAAAGAAAAAAAACGATGCCATGAAAAATATTCAAAAAGTTACACATGAGGTGATGAATGAATAAAAGGATATATGATACTTACGTTTGGTTATTGATTTTCATCAGTTTGGATGGAAGACATTGAGAGAAATAGGGTTTCAAAATATTATTAGGGTTTCTGATGAAAACGTGATACAAACATGAAAGATTTATATATGATAAATATATATTATAATAATTATAAGTAAACGTTTGATTTTTTTTTTTTTTAAATCCAACCTCATGCCTTTTGCGACCCCCAATCGAGTCCTTAAACGGTCGCTAATTGCTGTTTTGCGACTTCTTTGCGACTGCACACGTTGGTCGCTAAAAAATGGTCGCTAATTACAATGGTCGCATTGTCGTCGCAAATTTGTGACGCTGTTAAGACTGCTTGTGATGGTCGCAGATTAGTGACGCGATAGAGACGGACTGTAGGGGTCGTAAATTTACGACGTATTAGCTACACCTATTTCACTACAAGAAAACTGGGTTTTAGTGACTACACTTAAAGTCGCTAAATAGTTGTAAATGCGACCATGATTTTATTTATACAAATCACACAAAATGAAATTAAAACTAATTTTATTTTTCATATATATATTTATTTCGTGACAAGATTTTTTTTAAATTAATAAATATATATATATATTAATAAACCACCCAAACCGGGAATGGTTAAGAGTTACAATTGAATCAGTTACAAAATCCTGGTTGAACCGGATGCTAAAAACACACAAAAAAAAACCCTAAACACGTAACAGAGCCGCCGCCCAAGTCTTCAGCCGCCGCCCGAGTCTTCAGCCGGATTTCGTTTGCCGACGAGTCCAGTTGCCGGCTGCAACCTACCCGATGGAGGGTAAGAACCGGCAGTCCACTCGCGGTACAAGCCTTTTGCTCCGCCACCGTCTTCTTTAGAACTCTCCCGTCGCCGGATTTCTTTTTTCGTCTTCAACCCTAGTGGTGACTTTCACGGCATGTTTCGGCTAAGTAGTGGAGGCGGTCATGTGCGTCCGTCGATGTTCACCCTCGTCGTTGACACAAGGGATTGTTCTCCCACTCCTCCTGATTCCGGTAACAAGGCGAACATCCGCCGAGCATTGAATGAAGCCGATGGTAAAGATGCCATTCGAACGGAGAGAAACTGGACGACGAGAGGTATAAGTGAAAGCACTAAAGCAGCCATGGCTAAGAGAGAGGAGGGATACCAAAGATCTCGTAGAGATGTGTAATCTCGAGGAAGACGAGGAGATAAAGATGTTTAGAGGTAGAGAAGTGAGAGAAGTAAATCTGTCCGTTGATTTTACTGTTATCAACGGTGGATATCAAATGAGGTGAGATCCTCACCTTTAAGAATTAGCCAATCAGAAACAAGTCTGTTTATTTGTATTTTAATAGTTTTTTCTTCTGTTATTTTTTCTAATTAGTAAATTAATTTTTAGTATTAAGTGATAAAAGATAAACTAGAGTATATTCATATATCTATTTACAAATAATTTGATGATATATCTCATAATCAAATTCATTTGCAAAATAATTATATTTTGATTTTATAATTTTTCTTTTAATTTTTATGTATCAATGTCAAGTTTAAAGGTTATGATTCATAATTTAGGGGTTGGATTTTAGGTTTTAATCTTAGAGTTTTGAGTTTAGAATTTTGAAAGTGGTTAAATTCATTAGTAAATTTATATTTATATTCTTTAATAACACTAAAAATATATATGTATATATTAAATCATATACTCTTATACCCAATACCCTAAACTCTAAACTCTATACCCTAAATCTCAAACCTCAAACCCTATACCCTAAATGTTAAATTAAAGATCATGATTTTATTATTTTGTAAATTAAATCTTAGTTATTGGTTGTGTATTCTTTCTATTTTGTAAATCTAAATCTTATTTAATTTTTTTTTTTTTTTGGGGTTAAGTTTTGATTAAAACAAATAAGATTTTGAAAACTATAACGGGTTGCACAAACTATAACGGGTTGAAAAATAAGATTTTGAAAACTATAACGGGTTGCAAAAGTCGTCGCAAGTTAGTCACAAACAAGAACAAATGTAAAAAATAATAATGTTGTGGCAGAATGGTCGCAAAATACGTAACAAAGTTGTCACTAAAGAGTAGCACATTAGTTGTAAAATTAAACAGTGGCAAATTAATCGCAAAGAGATACGCTTTTGCGACGTTCGTGTATGAGTCACAAATCAACATTTAAGATTTTTGAACTTTAAGATCTAAATACATTGATATAAGGATTATGTAACACTCCATAGTCCATTTGTGAAGTAAATCATTCATTTTAAGAGGCAAAACAATGATTTGGTAAGTTTATTTTCAAACATACTTAGATTAAGATTAAAACTATATGTAACATCTTCCACATGATAGGTTTTTACAAAGATTAAGTTGTAAACATGTAAAATTAAAACATTAACAAGTAATCTTTCAATGTATTAGTTCAAATCAATGCAAAATATAGTTACTTAACATATTAAACATTCTATTTTATACAATTTCAATTTTAAAACAGAACGAGTCTCTAAAGAGTACCAGAACGGTCGCAAAATAGGTAACAAAGTCGTCACAAACGAGTAGCACATTAGTTGTAACATTAGACAGTGGCAAAGTAATCGCAAAGAGATACGCTTTTGCGACGTTCGCGTATGAGTCACAAATCAATATTTATGATTTGTGAACTTTAAGATATAAATACATTGGTATAAGGATTATGTTACACTCCATAGTCCATTTGTGAAGTATATCATTCATTTTAAGAGACAAAACAATGATTTGGTAAGTTTATTTTCAAACTTACTTAGATTAAGATTAAAACTATATGGAACATCTTCCACAAGATAGGTTTTTACAAAGATTTAGTTATAAACATGTAAAATTCAAACATTAACAACTAATCTTTCAATGTATTAGTTAAAATCAATGCAAAATATGGTTACTTAACATATTAAACATTCGATTTGATCTAATTACAATTTTTAAATCAGGACGAGTCTCCAAAGAGAGGCAAATTAGTTGTAAATTTACGACTCTTTTGTGACGATTAAGAAGTTTCACGAAACATTTTTTTGGATTTCGACAGGGTTGCATAAGTATCGTAAAAGGGTCGCTTATTTATGACCATTCTCTGACTAATTGTTGGCGTCGTAAATTGGCGATAAATATGCGTCTACTTTTAATGTAGTCGTTAAAGAGTCACTATCTGGTAACAATATCGTCGCAAATATTTGCGACCAACAAAAGAGTCACAAAAAGTAGTCGCAAAAGGCTTGTTTTCTTGTAGTTACTGCCCGCAACAGCAAACGCTTGCGGGAAGGAGCTTTTGAAATTTAGCGATTTCGAGCGGTTCGAAGCGGTACGGAGCGGTTTCTATGATTGGTACCAACCGCTAACAACCGCAACCGACCGCTAGTAACCGCTAGGAGGGTGCTAGCGGGAGAACCAATCAAACCCTTAATCGAGAATTATGCTTGCTGCACTTGCTTTGATGGGTAAAAGCAAAAAATAGATAAGAATATATAATTGTTCAACAAATGAAACTTAATTAAAACTCCTCAATCTAAAATTTGAATTTTTCGACAGAAACAAATATCGATATTAGCACTGTTTGTATCATATTTGTAAAGTGGTAGCAATAATAATATATTAAAAACAATGCAAAATATCAATAAATATAATCGTACAACAAATCAATCGATTTTAGCAGTAAAATCACGTTTATGATGATAGAGCATGCATTAAAAAAATTATCACTAAGAAAATAAAAAGATGGTAGAGAATGATTGTTTATATATAAACGATGTTTTTGTATTAACATGAACATGATTCTTATGGTTTTAGCAATAATAGAGATTCATATAAAACATTATCATCACTTTACATATAAATACTTAACTGCCATATAAAACATTATCATCACTTCACATATAAATACTTAACTGCTAAAGAAATGTGAAGAAAAATAATTAACTATTACAAAGAGAACTTTGGGTGATGAATTCCGACGTTAATAAATCTCCTATATATAGAGAAATATTGTAGAGATTGTTAGGTTCAGATGTCAAATATTTTGAAATATTTTGAAAAAATATTGTAAATCAAGGTTAATTGAAAATATTTGGAAATGTATATATATTTTTATCAAACACATTAATTAAAAGATGACTCCACGATTGGTTACTCAATCCGGAGTGAAAAAATTTACAAATGTGACCTCAGAAAACAGTAAACGAGAATATCGAGCTAAACAATCCTATTTAGAAATATTTTTTAATTATCGAATATTTGGTTTCTAAGATATATTGTTGTATTGCATATATTTTTGTTGATATTGTTTAATAATATTCATTATATCTTAGAAGATTTGTTGGAATAGTTAAGATTTTATAAATATTATACATCAAAATTATAGGGAAAACGATTTGGTTTACATTAAATTGTATCCATAGCGTATAATATAATAACAAAATCGGAATTTTGGTAAGAAAGAACAATATTTGATAGTAATTATTTGTGATTTGTTAGATCTCTATCACAAAATAGAGAATATAGTAACAAATTAGATCGTAACAAAGTCGAAAATCTACAAAGTTAATTAAATGCCACGATAAAATCAAAAACCTCTCAGGCGCAATAATAGAGGACAGCCGCATGAATCTATTTTCCAAAGCCGTTGGAGCCTTTGCTCGCCGGTCTCGGGATGTATCTAATCATCCCTCATTGTCTTGTCTCTGTTACGCTTTTCGCAAACTTTTGTAACCTTCCCGACCACCATGACACTTTTCCTTTGTTTTGGTTTCTGGTGGTCGGAGATCATTTTATCAAGCTTTCCAGAACCTTATCTCCCAGCTGGTCATCTAATCTGCTACATGCTTGCGATGAAACTTACCCCGCTTTCTTATTGGCGAGATCCCTCAAAGCCAAATTTGCAAAAATGCTTGAATTCGGGCTTAATCTTTCACATGCGTCTAGATCCATGGAGTCTTGTTGGTTCGCGAGCCTCGTCGACCACCGATCTCACCAGAATTTAGCAACGCTCGAACCGGAGATGAAGATGGCGGCGGAAGGGTTAACCCTAATCCATCAAGCCCTTTCCGTCTTGGTTCCCGTCACTCTCTCCAATTGGTACCGCAGTCTGTCGCCTTTGTCTTCTCCGGTGCCACAACCTTTGGCGATGTCTCTTTCAACTCCGATCATCTGCTCGCCGTCGCCCAGCCGCTACACACAACGCCTCATCGCCCCTGTCAAAAGGAAGGAAACTAGGGATTTCGGTTATGGGCTTTTCCCTTTACGGCCCATTATGTCTTCTCTCTTGGCACTTTCATGTGTTTGGCCCAATAAAGTGTTTTTGCAAAAGCCCAGGTCTGATCAAAACCCTTCTTTGTCCATTTTTAGCAAGCGTTGGTGTCGATTCATGGAACCAGTTGTTCAAGGATAACAATTAGAACATAGTCGACCATTGTTGCTTTGTTGGTACAATTATAACTTGAGAGCTCTGCCTTTAGAATCACCTAGGGAGAATATTCATAAAAGCAAAAGAGTGAAAAAGAACGGCATTATGATCCATGGATAAGTGGTTAGTGGTTACCAAAGCTTCTTCAACCTTCTATATCCAGCAGTCTCCTCCGTGGAGCACTTTTCTAAAAGTTTGTATGTGTTAATCGAGCGATCCGTCTATGACCACCCGTTTGTCGAGGATTTCGCGAAGCCCGTTTTCATGGTCGAATCCTCTATCGCCTCGACAGATTTTTCAAACATTGCAAACTTTTTAAAGGTGGGCCTCCCTTTGGAAAACTCATGGAGCTTGTATCTTTATTCTAATTGTATTATCTTAGTTTTAGATCCTAAGTGAATGAAAGTTTTGTTTGACAAAAAAAAAAAAAAATTAATTGCCACGATTTAGAAAATATTTTGAGAATAAGATAGTTTTAACATTGAAAGGAATGACATTCCATTGTAAATAATTTTGAAAGCTAAGAGTTTTTTTTTTCAAAAATATACTTTGAAAATGTATATATAGGTTCGAGAAAGTATCAAGCAAGATGATATATATTTTGGTCCAAAAAAACTACCTTGTTATTACTAATGAAAAAAAGAAAAAAAAAGTTGAAAGAAATTTAACCATTTCATGTTACATAAAAGAAAAGAATTTTAAGAAAAAATATATGAAAACAATCAAATTTTTATAAGAACCAATTATATATGTAGAGATAGCTGATTGTAATTTATTTGTTTAAGAAACGTTTTACCAAATTCTTGAAAAATATTACGTTTTCTTGAATATTTAATCATAATGTTATGAGTATTCGCATATATCTATTTCTGATGAAATTGTTTAGATAAAGAGAATATTTCAAACTCATAAACAGAGAAAATTATAATGTGAGATTTTGTTTCCAACATACAAGTACTTATCTGATATCGAATACTAGTTATAACGGGATTAAACAATATCTTTTTGCATTATAACGAAATTCATCATTTAATATTTTTATGTGTAGTTGATTACCGAAGAGTTCTAAGCCTTCTCAGTTCACAAATAGTTTTAATTGGTTATGGAAAAGAGATATGCGACATGAGATAATCAAAAGCATAAAATACTAGCCGTATGAAAATCAAATTTATTGTCGTACACAAGTTCCAATTCATTATATATATATACCAATTTTTGTTGGCCATGCATTACATTAATTTATTTATACATTCATATTTTACTTACATATTTCGTTTGAATAAATTTACTTACATATTTACTTATACATTTTTTTCTTCAATCAAGTAAATCACATTTTTGTTGGTTGGGTATATTTAATGAGAAGTAGCTAGGTTATGTACGTTCTGAATGGTTGGTGATATTTAATGCGAAGTATGTATTATGTACGTTCTAAATGGTTGGAGATATTTAATGAAGTATATTGTTAAGTGTTCGAAATACGCTATGGAGGTTGGAAATATTGAATATACATAATTCTTATTAGGTTATATTCATAATGATATTTTGAAGTACATCACGTGAAAATTTCTCTTTATGGTCGTTACTTAATCCTTACATTTGACGAAAACGAAAAGGAAAAAAACTTTTGGGCATTCTACAAATGTTCTTTTCATGATCTTCTTCTAGAACCTTGGGTGTTTAGATTTTTGTTGATGCAGCCATGGCAAGGAATAAGAAATATATATCGAATGGACTATCACCACCCGTCTTACCACCACCGGTCCTATCAACATCCGGCAACTTTCCTTTGACGATTATCAAGTGTGATTGGAAAACCAACAACGTGAACATTATAGATCATGTTCGTTTGCTCATTCAAATTGTTCATATGGATGAAAATGAGAAATGATGTTCGTTTAGTGCCAAAATGAGCAACATGGATTATCTGAATGAAAACTCATGAGTTCTACAACAAAATATATAAAAAAAATGATATGTAAGTCGTTAAAAAATTATATGTAATTTGTGTAGCATATTCTCAAGTACTGGAACTACAACTTTATAACATGATCAAAAAAAAAATTAGTTTAATACTTCATCAATAGAATCAAATGCTTTTAACCCAAAAAAATGAGTATTGAAAGATAGTAATTAAAGAGAAAATAGTTATGATAAGTTTTGAAAATCAATTCACAGTTCAATATATATTATATATGAGTCAATATGAGGTGAAAATAAAGTAGTTGTCGAGAGGCAATGAGTGGTTCATAGAAGTTGACGAAAGAATTAGTAATTAAAAGTGTTTGAAAATAAATTTCTAAAACTTAGAAAGATAATGCACATGACTAAGGTAAAATTTTTGAGATCTCATTCTTTGTGTGAAATGAATGGGTTCTTAGAAAAAGTACATGAGATACATTATTAATTATTAGATTTCAACTTGGGCTTAACCATTTGGCCATGTAATCATGGAAAGTAAGATAAGATAGACACATTGATGACTTAGTCGAAAATTCTCTTATGACACGCTGCATTAGCTTCGATGGGTATAACAAGCTCACTAAACCTGTTCTAGCAACATGATATTATAGATGTACCTTTATACTAAATAATATTCATGAAACTTGGTATATTTGCATTTTATATAGAATGATGTTATGTTTGTATCAACATTTAATCATAAAAAATATATACAATTAGGTCAACAATCGATAATTAATGTCAAAACTTTTTAAAAAATATCTTCATGGAATATGAATAAGAAAAAAACTATTTTAGAGATAAAGAATCATTAGATTGTCGTCGATACCATTTTTTCTTACCACGAATTTTCTAAGAGATCTTTGTTATCACGTGATATATATCAAACTATTTATTTGTCAAAGAAAATTTATCGTCGACAATATATATGTTGTATATCGCTTCGTAAATAAGTTTAGTGTTTATATAGATTTATCTTTTAAAATTAGAATGATTATATTTATGCTCAAATATTTATTTTTAAAATTTTAATGATTATATTTTATGCTCAAAAAATTAGATTAATAAAAGAGATTTTAAATTAAAATCTCGCGCATTGCGCGGGTACAATATCTAGTCTTACTTAATTAGCTAGGAAAACTTAACAACATAATAATAAGAAAAAAACCAACTATTTGAGAGATAAAAAACTAACACATAGTCATATATAATAACCGAATCTTACTTAATTAGCTAGCAATAACTTAAAAACCTAATAATAAGACTAAACATAAGTCAAATCATAAATTAACTTATGGGTGTGAAAAATGGCTCGGAAAACCTATTGGTCACCGTGGCAAGTAACGACCAGCAGGTCCATAACTGGGCTGGCCGGCAACGTGTGTTGAGTAAGGTTAACCGTAACAACGGCCGGAGGGTAAGAAAGGTTCATGCTGCGATTTGTTGCTTTGCGAGAGCTGGTGAAGCGAACCATGATGTCCACAAGCTTGTAGAGCTTATAGCATGATTGTGACGAACTTCGAAGTTTTATGAAACTTTATTTTCAATAATCGGATGAAAGATTACTTTATTGAAATTTAAGTTTGTTTCTTACTTTATGAACATTTTAAGTTTATTTCTATAATTATGAAACTTATATTATATTTCAGTTTATTATATATATTTTTTTCTTTTATATTTCTGTAGTTTACCATACTTTTATATTTCTGCACTTTTAATTCTGTAATTTATTATATTTTTTCTAAATATTTTCTGTAATTTCTTTATATGCAATTTTTTTATGCTATGCTTTTAATTTATTTTTTAAATCCTCTTCAGTTATTTTGTTCAATTTCTTACTTTTTGTGGAACGTTTCATGGTTTTTGTTATGTCCCCGACATAATCTGAAATGCACAGGTGGTATTAATTGTAATATGAAAAACAAACTAATGCGTACATGGATAAGATTCACAAGAAATATCTTTTGCTTAAAAGTTTTGTATATTTTACAAACTCTCTCACTATATATTAATGCAATTCAAATTCATATCCTAAAAACAAACAAACAAAATATTTGTATTTCGATCACGTAACAGATGTACGTTTACGTTGTTAATCTTCCACAACACATGATCTCCAACATTAAGAATAATCAAGTTAATAAAATGATGCATATTTTCTCATCTAACGCATCATTTATCTTATTCTCTTTTCTTAGCACAGATCTATCCTAATCACAACTTTAATTTCTCTTCTTTATCTTCATTTTGTTCCTTCCTTTTCACCTATATTCTTAGCTTTTTCTCCATCTTCTTGCTCTTTCTCTTCTATGAAGTGGTAGAATTTTTTTTATGCTAAAACATCATTGTTGATGGAGTATGTGTATCATTTCGGATACACATAGATTGTAGTATCTTCTTCAGTGTTGTCGGTGACATTCTTAAATGTGAAATAAGCATGTAGAAGATCTCTCCAATGGTTGTACTTAAGACAGCGAGCCTTGAGATATGGCAAAAAAAATTCTATTTGATAATCTATATCACCACGTTAAACGAGCATAAATCGTTGGAGTATAGGGAAAAGAGACCATCTTCTGATCTTTCCTTCGTAAAAACCTCATGAACATTCTTCTTTTGACATTTGGTGGTCAAAGATGTTTTCTTTGCAACTCCTAATTCCTTGAAAGAAACAACATTGGGAAATCCACATGCACTATACTTTAAAACCATAAAATAGTTATAATTTGATTAATTCATATAATAACAAATAACAATTCATACAATAACAAGTAACAATAATAAATCATCGGCAAATTATTGTGATTTATTTGTATGAAATACCAATTCATCAAATTTTTAGAAAATATTGTCATTTTCTTGAATACTTAAACATAATGTTATGAGTATTTGACATATTCAAGTAAAAAAACACAATGATAATTTAATCACTATCACTTATATAAATAAAGACAATTCTACCACACAAAAGTTTAATCACTACCACATATAAGTTTAATCACTACCACACAAAAAAACATACACAATAATAATTTATTCACTACCACATAAAAGTTTAATCACTACCACACAAAAAATATACACAATGATGATTTAATCACTACCATACAAAAGTTTTAAAATATATTTAAGTTGACAATTCTAAAAGTTAATAAAGACATACAGAGTTAGCCTTTCATTTTTCTTAAATAACCATAGCAGAAACGTCATACATCACCATACAAATATCTAATATTTTGACAATATTGTTTATAGATAGAGAATATTTCAAAATTATATGCATAAACGATGAAAAATCTAAGATGATATTTTATTTCCTATATGCGAGTACTTACATGGTAGATATTATCTCCAAATTAGCGAATGATTCTTGACAGTTTGTATGATAAAACTGAAGTTTCTATAAAACAAACATAATTAACATACCAATTCATCTCATCAATATATAATACTTTCTTAATATTTTTGTTTAATGTATATTCATGTCCTACAAATGTTTCAATATTTATTACATCTCTAATATATTGT